TACTGAGTAGGTTCTCCCTGTTATAAACCTAACCCAGAGTACTGAGTAGGTTCTCCCTGTTATAAACCTAACCCAGAGTACTGAGTAGGTTCTCCCTGTTATAAACCTAACCCAGAGTACTGAGTAGGTTCTCCCTGTTATAAACCTAACCCAGAGTACTGAGTAGGTTCTCCCTGTTATAAACCTAACCCAGAGTACTGAGTAGGTTCTCCCTGTTATTAACCTAACCCAGAGTACTGAGTAGGTTGCCATGGATTGCTTGAATACTAGTGAAGGGTTTCCTAGTTCCCTCAATGCCATACTCATTCTGCAGTTCTACACTAAGATAGATAGATAGATAGATAGATCTAATAGAGGTCACCGCCTTGGTTTTTATTTGGGTTTTTAAATCAGGGGATAATATTCTCGGTCAAATAAATTCTTTTTTCTTTCTCAGATCAAGAATTACGAGCAATTTAATTTTTTAACTTTTTTATATTTTTTTTTGGTTGCGACTAGGAGGGGAAGAGAAACTTTCATAATATTATATGTCGTTGTTCTTGGTGTTCAAGAGATACCAGTGGGAGGAATTAAAACTCAACCTTGCTTGCTCACTGCTCAGGGTTCAACCTAACCTAGAGTCAAGGAGACATATCTTAACCTAGGTTTCAAGGGTGCTCTTAGGAGAAGGTTTAGGATTCGGAATTTATGGAGATACTACTTTAAACCTGACATTTTTAGGGTACATAAAAATCTGTTTTACAAGGTCACACCCCTCCCGCCCCACCCCAAATGTTTTAAACCATCTGCTCGAGAACAAATCCGTGTCACCACTTAATGGCAGATGCGTTAGTTAATAATTAGTCACATACGAGAAGGGGGGGGGGGGTTCTGGGCCCCCCCACCCTCGTCCAATGTAGGTATATGTTTAAAGGATTGATGAAGGATGAACTGCTCTAGGGTTTAGCATCTGCTCATCCAAGCTTTTTTCATTTAGGAGGATTCTTTTACAACCCACAGGGCTGGGGGGACAGGGGTGTCTGACAGCCCATTACTTTAATCGCATGTCAAATCTGATTTTATATAATAAGATAAGGACGAAAAACATGATATTAGTATAACTAAGGACGAAAAACATGATGATATAAGTATAACTAAGGACGAAAAACATGATGATACAAGTATAACTAAGGACGAAAAACATGATGATATAAGTATAACAAGGACGAAGAGCATGATGATACAAGGACGAATAATGGTTTTATACCTGATTACTGAATAGTCCGGAAAGACGAACTGTTAGAACCTCGAATACACAGGACTTGAGGAGGGTAACCTGGTCGTCATGTTGAAGACATTTAAAACCAGGAATACATTTTGCAAATGTGCAAACCTAGACAAACAGATTTAATTTCTGCAAACATAAGCTCATTACAATTAATCGTTTTTTAAAAGAAATATGGCAATACCATTTCTAATTTGAATTGAACCATGAATTGTTCTATAAAAAACAAATTATTTAAAGATATTTTATTTATACCTGTCTAACATGATCCATAAATCTATCTGAAAACTCATCTAAGAAAGACTGTTCTGAGCCTCCTTTCATCGGACACGTCTAAATAAAAAAAAATATTATTTATTTGGAAATTAGTTCGTCTAACTGTTATATAATGCTGTCAATTTTGGAGAAAAGTTAGAAACGTCAAAAAGAAATTTCATAAATATTTAAAATTTTTGAATTTTCCCCTAAATTCTTTGTGCTCAGTTAGCTATGTAAAAAACAGTCTTGGATTCAGTGACCTCAGGAGGCTGCGGGCATGATACAGTTCAACCTCATCCCAGGAGAGGCTGGGAGGAGGGGGGGGGTTATATTTTCTGTAAAAATTCCTCGGCCTCGAAGTTCAATGTACCCTCTATCCGAGGCCAGTGACCTTCGTGTTGGCCTCACAGAATACTCTAATGTTTGGCCGTGAAAACAGCCTCAATAGAGTCGGAGGCCAACCTTGGATGAGGCCGCCGCACTCACTTCCCGGAAGTAATATTTTTTTTTTATATTTGTGAGAATTTAAAAAATGTGACGACGCACCCCCCCCCCCTTCATGAAATAAGCTCATACTTCTTGTTGAGTTAATGAGCTGTAATAGCGTAAAATTTTCCCAGGTCCCGTGTCGCCATTTTTTCAAAATATAACAATCTTAATGATAAAGTGTTCAGATAACAAAGTTGTTCAAAATAATTAAAAGCACTGAAAACATCTTGAACAAAATTAGAGGTTTGCTGATTTTGAACAAATTCAGGCGCTGCCAAAAAAATAGCCTGCGATATTTGCATAAAAAGTTTGCAAGGATTTTGCCACTAGTTTTGCATTAGTTTTTGCTCGCCAGGGCCAACCAAGGACAAGTTTGCAGCAGAATATATGCAAAATCAATGAATAGATGAATCCTGGGGTTTAGTGGAGTTTATTGAAAGGCGTGGCCATTTATACCCTTCCTCCCCCCTACCCATCCCCCCCACCCCTCCCGTCACCTTCGAAGTTATTCATTGAACCATTCCAATTTTCAAGGACTTACAAAATTTAACCTTTTAACAAAGAAGAATTTATAGATTTTCGGCTACTTCACATATACTTTATAATAAAAACTATGCATAGGTTGTTTTTTACGTATCATACAAATTTTTTAAAAAGAGAAGAAAAAATATAGTTCTTCAAAAGTTCTTTTTAAACTTATTATCTTGTCTTTTTAAGGATGAAGTAAGTTGTTATATTTTTTAAAGAAATATTTATGTTGTTGACCCCCCCCCGATGTGGTTTCCCCCCCCCCCGGTTCATCTCTTGCCTTCAGTATAATGGCCTTGAGTAGAATTATTTGGTAGAATTCATGTTGCCAGCTTATAACTATCTATCTTTCTATCTGGGATATATTCTACTGTCTAATATATTTCTAACTAGTTCTACATTTACAAATATATATATATATATCGATATATTACAATATATCAAGTCTATTTGTCAAATATTTATAGATCTGTTGTTGCTGAAGTGTTAGCAAGGCCATCCGACAAAAATATAACTGTCTTATTAAATATTAAAACTTAAATTAAAAATTTTAAAATTTTAATAACAGATTTGAATAATACATTAGGATTTGAAGGTTTGAAGTGAACTAAAGTACAAGCCAACTAACATTGTACAAAACGGGACCTTCTGTGCAGTACAGACTGTACTGCATGTAATGAATAACATTAGTTTACTAGCGAGGTTAAAAAGTTTTAATTATCTGTTATTGTTTGTAAACAAATCAAAGTTTCAGATTTTTATCATCTTGATTTAAAGGTATACTTTTTGTGGAGTCAGCATTAGGGGAGGAAAGGGAGCTAAGGGGGAAGGTAGGGGAGGAAAGAAGGGGGGTGGAGAGAGAAATATAAGGGGGCTTAGGGTGGAGGTAAGGGAGAAAAGGAGGGGTAGGGATGAAAGGGGGCTACGGTGGAGGAGGGGAGGGATTTAAATTAGGTAAAAACATAAGAACAGATGCAGAGTATAGAGTACTGCTGCTGTATCTCCAGTACGACCTTGACTAGATAAAAATCAACCCTCAATGCACAAAATTGTTGTGGAGTGGGAGGAAGGCAGGGAGGGTTGAAAGGAGGAAGGGGGGGGTGAGGGTGAGGGAGGGGGGAGGATTGAAGGAGAAAGGAGGGAGGGAGAAGGAAGGGAGTAGGGTTGAAGGAGGAAGGAGGGATGGCGGAAAGGTAGAGTAGGATTGGTAGGAAAGTGTCGAAAAGTTTAAAGGTTGTGAAGGGTGGAAAGGTTTTATGAAGAAAGGGGATAGTGGGAAGGGTTGCAATGTTAAAAGGTAAGAAGGGAGGGGAAGGGGGAAAGAAATGTAAGGTTGTGAAGGAAAGGAAAGTGGGAAGAACGGAGAATGAGGGGTAGATTAAGGAAAATTGAATTGTTTATGTAAGCATATAAAGTTTATTCTAGACGTATAGACAGTCGGGGGGGAGGGAGAGGTCAACATATTTAGTTTGAAGGGGAGAAAAGGTGATAGATAGATAAATGGAGAGAAATACAGAGAAAACCTCAAGTATGGACTTATTAATAGGTTTAATAAATAATTTATATAGATAAATCGACAGAATAGGAGGAATAAAGTTAGAGGAATGAGAAGAATGGAGGATGGTTGGGAGAAGGAATAGAATGGAGGATGGTTGGGAAAAGAAAGAGAATGAAGGAATGGTTAGGAAAATGGAGAATGGTTAAGAGAATGGAGGAAGGTTGTTAGTATAAAGAGAAGGAAGAAGATGGGGGAGGAACTCCAAATTGTTTCTGTTAAAGGAGTAGAAAAGAGGAAGGTTTTCATTAGGAAGAGAAGGAAGAAGATGAAGGAGGGTTAAGAAAATGGTGGATGGTTAAGAGAATGGAGGAAGGTTGTGAGTAGGAAGAGAAGGAAGAAGATGGAGGAAGGTTGTGAGTAGGAAGAGAAGGAAGAAGATGGAGGAGGGTTGTGAATAGGAAGAGAAGGAAGAAGATGGAGGAGGGACTCCAAATTGTTTCTGTTAAAGTTTATAATATTCAGCCTTGAAAAGCACAGTTTAAATCCCAGCTCGCTATCTATCTATCCATGCATTTATTTATCTATCTATCTATCCCCGCATCTAATCCAATCCATTTCCGGTGTGACTCTACAGTATATGGTCTACACTATATACAACTACCAACGGTTTAACAAACCTTATAAACAACAGCATTCAAATCACCAAAACTCAAAGGATTTAAAATTGCACAATTCTCTGCTGAATTTGCAACAATGACCTTTTGCAAAAAGAATTTAGTTAAAAGTATTTATTAAAGACTGGAGATGTTGCTTTCTGTTGAAATGACCTTGATAGAGTATTAAAGTATATTATGTATATTATAACAGGCAAATAATCAGTTTAAAATAACTGTCGAATATTCTAAGGCTGATAGGATAGACAGTCTGAGAGAGGGGGGGGAGAAAATACCGATTAAGCACGAACATTTCTAATAAAAATACTAAAGATGCACAGATTCTTAAATATTCAAAATTCCTAGAAAAGTTAGATCTTATTTTTCTTTACACTGAAACAAAGTTGGATAAATGAATTTAAATTTTTAAAGGTGACGAACTGGTCTTTCGAGGCCGATATTTTAGAGGCCGGCCGAAGATAAACTATTAAATTCCCTAAAATGAGTCAAGAATGTTCTTAAATATCTAGTACATGTCGACACAAGGACTTGTGAGCTAAGTTTAACGAATCTTCAAAAATTTATTATTTTAAACGATGGAAAAAATCAAAATGTACTTTAAATAAAAATTTTCTCTATTGAAAAAAATTCTATGAAAATAAAATGATTTGACCTTGCTGTGTGAATAGTAGATTAATTAAAGGCTGAACTAGAGTTTATTTAAACTGTACTTTTATAACACCTATTCCTACAGTTAACTAGTTGAAAAGTACTAATATTATCAAATTTTTAAATTATTATCAAATTTCATAAAACAAAAAAAGTAATTTAAGTATGAAAGGTTAGGGTAGAGCTAGGAAGGGTTAAGTATGGAAAGGTTGGATGTTAATTGTAGCTTATTGGTTGTAATGTAAATATATGTTTATATTGAGTAAAATTTTTCCCTATTCCCCCCTCCCCCCCTCATCACCCTGTCTATTGAAGGGAGAGGGGGCCAAGGACAGGGAATGTAGGACAAATCCCCCACATTCCCCCCCCCTTCAAATAGGAACTAAATAAGGGTGTGGTAGTTGTATAGAAGGTGTGTCTGCTCTTATGTTCTATTATGAATAGTTTAGTTTATGTTATCCATAATATTCATCTAATTATTAGTTTTAATCTTAGCAATTATAATATATTGATAAAGATTAATAGAATAGATTGATATTAAGTATATTCATGAACATAAAAAATTAATGATATAAATAAGATAGAGAATAAGATTAAAAATTGGATGGATGAATGGATGAATGAGTATATGAAAGGATGGATAGATTGAATGAGTATATGTAAGGATGAATGAGTATATGAAAGGATGGCTAGATAGGATGAGTATATGAAAGGATGAATGATTGAATGAGTATATGAAAGGATGGATAGATAGGATGAGTATATGAAAGGATGAATGAGTCTATGAAAGGATGGATAGATTGAATGAGTATATGGATTAGAAAGGTGGGCCTAAACATCCAATAACACTGTAGGGTTTACCCGTGCTACTGCTATATATACAATATACATATATAGTGGGGGAAATAAATGCATTTATTATGAAGGCCAGGTTTCCCCTAAACAGTAAACATATCCCCCCCTTGCACTTATTTCCCCTACACCCGGCCCACTTACCCAAAGTATATGGAGTATATGTACACATTAATATACGTCAAAATATTTACTATGTATACAACTCAGCCTGTTCACTTTTATAAACAAACCATTTTACATTATCTGTGAACATTCAAGGAGGAAATGCAATGCCCCTCCCCCTGAAGGCACTTTTCCTACTCCCCACTCCCCTCCAGTCCATATACCTCTATACCCCCCACCCCCACCCCCTGCAATCAAGCAAAGGTTCCGCAAATATTTCCTGCATGGATTCTCAGGCCTGCTGCCTTGTTTGTCAAAATTTAAAGGTCGAAATGGCAAATTTTTTCCTGACTGATTCTACGGAGCTGAAGGTCGCGTATCTCCAGCTGATTTAGTCTCTACGCAGCGAAGGTCAGATTCGCCCCATCTCATGGTTTGTGTAGAGGCAACGGTATACTCCTTCAAGCCATCCTTGATTCAAACCAGTTTTACACAAACACACACACACAGATCTAGATACTTGGCATACACCTGGTTAAAGGGTCAGGTCGAGTTTAATCAAAGAGTGGGTCAACTTCTACAAGATCTATCAACGTATCGAGGGTTGAAATATCCATTTGCCTCTTCTTATCAATAATTCCAATTCCTTCCCACGTTTTACCTAAAGGAATCTACAAAGAAAGAATTTAAAAATGATTTAACAAATATGGAGATGTAATAATGAACCTCCCCTCCACCCTACACGCCTACCCTTGAAATTATTGCAACCACGCCTTTTCTGAATATGTACTTACTTCCTCATAGGGTAGGACAGTACAGAGGGAATAAGATACATAAATGCATTTGGATTGTACTTTTTGTATTGTCAGGCATTCTACAGAGGTGAGAATTTATAAACAACGATTTTATTGAACTATGTAGTTGAACTACTTCTCCTGCATTGGTTCAAGTTAATCTCAACTGTATTTTAAATTTAGTTGAATTAGATGTAAGTAGTTAAACTACGTCTTGCTATCTAAAATCAATTTAATTAATCAATAATGCGTCATTTCTTGATCCTACTTCTTATTCATGGAAAGGGGTATAAGAGTGATTAAGCAGAAGAGGAGTTGGAGGAATATGCAAAAATATAGATAATGGAAGAAAGGTTTAAGATTGTGTGTATAGAGCGGGAAAGGGGGGAATCTTTAATGAATACTATATCTGTAGTTGTTTGTAATAATAATAGGGAAACAACGATTTTGTTTTCATATATTTAAAACATTAGATATTTACAAATCTTTTGACCCTGAAAAATTTAAGCTGTGTAAAATATTCCCAAAAATATTAAAAATTTAAGTTTTGTGTAAAATATTTCCAAAAATATTAAAAATTTAAGCTTTGTGTAAAATAATTCCCGAAAATATTAAAAAATTAATTAAGCTTTGTGTAAAATAATAAAAATTTAAGCTTTGTGTAAAATATTACCAAAAATATTAAAATTTAAGCTTTGTGTAAAATAATTCCCAAAAATATAAAAAATTTAAGCTTTCTGTAAAATATTCCCAAAAATATTAAGAATTTAAGCTTTGTGTAAAATAATTCCCGAAAATTTTAAAAATTTAAGCTTTGTGTAAAATAATTCCCGAAAATTTTAAAAATTTAAGCTTCGTGTAAAATATTCCCAAAAATATTAAAAATTTAAGCTTTGTGTAAAATATTCCCAAAAATATATATAATTTAAGCATTGTGTAAAATATTCCCAAAAATATTATTCAAAGTGAATTTTGTGTTTTAATATGAAAGCAGTTTAGTGAATAACCCTAGAGAGGCCTCTTAACTGGAGAAAGAATGTAACATCAAATTTCAAGGCCGATCAGCTTTTTATTTCATCATTACGCTGATTGTCGTCAATTCCTCATTATTTACAAATCAAAAGAATTTATGTAATTTAAATAGATGTTCAACTACGGAGTTAAGATGTAATACGTTATAATGATTATGATACTGATATATATTCATATGTATTTGCATTTTTTATTATGTAAGGCCTAAACACTAGAAGGGTTCAAATTACTTGAGAGGTTATTTCAAGGGATGCATAGGGGGGGGGGCTTGAATTTAGTATATCAAGTTACAACTTCGATTGTTTTACTAAAATAATATTTTAAATAAAACAATACTTGAAATTATCGAAATTCACATAATTATGATTATAATGGAACTGATAAAAAAAAAATTATGGATAAAAATGTGATTTTGCACATTGTGAATTTTTTTAAATGAAGAGTTAACAGGAATGGGCTGCACCCCCTTCCACCATTTTTCCAGGTGAACTCAAATCCCATAGCCCCCCTAAAACGCCCTTGGTGTAGGGGGGGTCGTCCTTGACAAACTAAATGTGATCTTGAAGTTGTTTCGGATAAATTCATTAAAATCAAATCTTGTCCAAAACTTTGAAAATAATATAATGATGACTTTAAATAGACATGATTAGGATGTATAAGGACAAATACGTATCATCTCTGTATAAGGTGAGCGAATAATCAAAATAGCGTGATCCAAATCATTTGCCGTTTATATTGTATACAAACATGGTATCAGATCATTTATCATCAGTTGATTTAAATTCAAATTCAATAAGTTTAAAGTAGGTAATATAACAGCATTATATCACAGAGAAAGAATAAAAAATATTTGAAAAAGAAGTTTTTTGTCTGACCTGTCCCGTGCATGTTGCAAGCTTGAGTTGATTTTGTGCACCGCTAATAAACGGTTTTATCTTCTCTACTGTATAATCACAAGTATCATAATGCGCGCGAACAATTGTGTCTATTATCTTACGCTCGTCCGACATCTCAAAAAGAACTCGGCTCTCCATGATCTTGGCCTTGCTTGACTGCATGGCGGCCAAAATTTTGGCCTTTTCACGTTTAGGTACCCGTCCAAACCGAACAGCTGAAATAAACAAATCATTAGTATAGAATAAACTGAAGTTTTGATCTTGTGTTTTTTCATCATCATGATTTATCTAATGGGTATTGTATCAGCACAATTTGTTGACTACTTGTTATAGTTGATCTGACAACATTTATGTTGCTTTTTACCAGGATAATTGAAGGTGGAACCATTTTGTAGGATTCCTTTTAATATTGAGTTTTGATTCCTGTCTCCTGTTCCCATTTTGTCCTTCTAGCACTAATAAAATAATAATAAAGCTTTATAACCGTCACAGCTAGGGTAGCCAAGGTTGGATTATACTGAGTACATATCTCCGTATAGTATCACAGTATAGTATCACGGCTACGGAGTGACTGAGACACGACTACGAGGTCTCCGAACTCTACTGTCCGAAGGATCGGGTCGGTACAAGCTTTAGCTCTGAGTGTGACCTTGAACTTGTCTCAGCGGTACGCGGCTATTCTCCTTCCACACATAGCACCAGGAGAAATCCATGGTTTCTCTACTCACTCACTCACTCACTCACTCACTCACTCACTCACTCACTCACTCACTTACTCACTCACTCACTCACTCACTCACTCACTCACTTAATAACTCACTTACTCATTTACTCACTTAATCGCTCACTCTTAATCATCTCTCACTTATTGACTTACTCACTTACTTGCATACTCTCTCACTCATATACTCACTCACTCACTTACTTACTCATTCCGTCAGTAACTCACTTTTTTTCTAATTTTAGCTAAGTTTACTTTAATCAATATTTTTACCACTTTGTTCTAGCATATTATTTCATTTGGAAAATATCTTAATTTCATTCATTTATTTTCATTAATTTTTCAGAGAGGCCTTCTCACTTCATCAGAATGATGAGGCTTAATTCCCTTCAAACTCCGAGAGGCCCATTCCCCCTTCCATTTTTTACATTTCATAAAACATCAAGGCTTTTCAACACCTTGTTTACATATACAATGCTCTGCAATGACCCCCCCCCCTTTAACCCCACTTCATGTCACACCTCTCTGATAACAAATTTTTGATTATTATTTAGCCTTGAAGGTGTGTGCGTCAGAAATACGCGAATAAAAATATTTTTGAATCATCATTATTCATACCTCGTTTGCACTATTCACTATTCATATCTATCAAACTAAATGGGGGCAAGAAATGTTGCGAATTGAGCAAAGAACCAACCTCAAAAGTTTCTATTTTCGGTCCCATTCTAAATAAAAGACCCTCCCCCCCCCCACCTCTAATCCCCCCTGCTAACTATCCCTTTCAACTCTTTCATCCAACCCCTCTTTGCAATTTATATAACACAACGAATCCTTTTTAGTCCTTTATACAGACTAATTTTTCTCAGATTATTCATTTATACCCTTTTCAGGGACATTATTGCGTTTTCGAGCCCACCCCCCCTTACCCCTCTCACCCCTTCATTTCCTATGCAAGGGTTGAAAGCGGGTTGAAGGCCAAATAAAAGGACATTTTGAAAAAAATTGTTCCAAATTCATTGTTGAAAAAGGATGAAGAACGGACAAAAGAGTTTTGTGAATAAAAGATTCTTGCAACTGGAATAGAATGATAATTGTCAACGGTACCATCTGCCGTTATTTATTGAACAGTGTCTATATTTTCCAACAAATTTTTTTATAAAAAAATTTAAAATGTCGAAATTAATCCTTGAAACGGAACAAAAACAGTATTTCAACTTTACTGAGAAAATTTTTAAATTCGGTTTTTTGTTTTATCATTCGGTATACATACTTGAAAATATATTTGGAGATATGTGTCTAGAGGTCTTTCTATGCCTAGTGCTTAACTCTCCTAGGCCTATGTGCTTAGGCCTGTAAACAGTATTACACAGGCCTAGGTCATTCAACTCAAGATAATTTTCAAGTTCAAGTTTTAAATACAATTACGGAATCCGAATAAATAACTCCGGACTAAAAAGAAGAAAATTATTTAAACATTTTTAATAATTGAACTTTTTATTCAGCGCGAAACCGGTTAAATTGAATTAAGAAGGCAACATTTTTAGTTAAAATTTACACCGCAGAGTCTTGAAGAGGAATAAAAAGTATGAATTCATAACTGATCAGACTCCCTCTCTGGTTCTTTAAAAAACCCTTCTCCTTCTCCCCCTCCCTAGTTCTTTTCTTATAAATCTTCCCATTCCTCCTTCTCTTTTCTTTTCTCCCCATAATGTTTTCCCTTTTCTCCTTCTCTTTCCTTTTCTTCTCACAAATCTTTCCAATTCTTTCCTCTTTCCTTTCATCTTATATTTTTCCCATTTCTCCTTCTATTTCCATTTTTGCAATTTTTTTCCCATTTCTTCTTTTTTTCTTTCATCTTATGTTTTCCCATTTCTCCATCTCTTTTCTGTTTTCTTATATTTTTCCAAATTATATTGATCTATATTTCTAAGAAGAACAAGCTGAATACTGGATAAGCTAATTATTTTCACAACCTTGAGAGCACTTCTAGGCATTAGGTAATATGATAACATATCCCCCCCCCTCTCTTCTTATGGGTGCTCAGTGCTCTCCCCCCCCCCCATATACGTAAACAGACTCGAGATTGTAGAGGCTGTCCCCTTGGGGTTCCAATCCTCAGAGGCTGACCTTCACTAGGAGGATCTCTGCAGGTTTAAGGGGAGGGGAGGCCAGGGGGGTCGGCCGAAGACGGCCTAAGCGGGGAGTTAAGGCCTCTATGAAGGGGGGGGAGGATGAGAGGAATGAACTCTATATTCAAATTTATCTTGGACCGAGGTTACAGACAAAAATTATAAAATTTCATCCAAAATTATAAAACTTCTATAAACATTCTTAATATTTATATAAAAATAACAGATAAGAGATGAGAAAACAAAACAGAAGTATATATTTTGTGCACTTTTTCTTATCCTAGAAAATCTTCAAAACTCAAAAGGGGGGGGGTAATTCTTTAAAATGTATATTCCCATGATGCATAGATTTATATCAACAGAAATTAAAATTAAACATTTTCAGTCATTTTTTGCCTCTAGTCTGAACTAATTGGAAAACAAAAATACAAAACCACAGAAAATGCATGATAACACTATCAAATGATAACAAATATTTTTAACACACATGGATAGATAGATAGATAGATAATAGATAAAAATTAAAATTGATATATTTCAAGGGCACAACATTGTGGAAACAGTGCTTAGAAGATAAGGAATTAAACTAAGTTTGATAAAACCGGTTTAAACATACAGAAACAAAAATAAACAAAAAACCTCCCCTTTCAGAGCTTGCATATTATTTTACAGTTGAAAAAATAAACATACAGTTTAAACACTAAAAAAACACTCTTTCACAGGTTAATAAATTCTTGTTTACTTTAAAACCTTTTGATTCGACCGACGCGCTAGCGAGCTAGGTGACCTACTATACAGAAGTTGACCTGTTTACAAACACACAAATATTAGTGCAATCCATTTATTTTAACTGTACTACATGTTTCCACAAATTCCAGGTCAAGAATTTTAGAAAATTATTTAAAAATATCCTTAACCCCCATTCTCCCAATATTCCCCAAGTTACACCAAGATATATGTATATATATATAGGTAGAGCTGTTTAAAAAAGTCAAGATGGGTTGGAGAAAAAATGACATATTTAATTTATTGCTGGGGGAGGGGCGTGAATATATTTAACAAGTTCTAGACATCTTTTTATCGGAGTTCAGACAAAATCTTTTTATTGAAAATATTCTAGAATCNGGGGTGAGGCTAGACTTATTTATGACCTCAAGACGAGGCTGTATAGTGTTTGACCTATTTGTTATCATGCATTTTCTGTGGTTTTGTATTTTTGTTTTCCAATTAGTTCAGACTAGAGGCAAAAAATGTCTGAAAATGTTTAATTTTAATTTCTGTTGATATAAATCTATGCATCATGGGAATATACATTTTAAAGAATTACCCCCCTTTTGAGTTTTGAAGATTTTCTTGGAAAAGAAAAAGTGCACAATGTATTATCTCGTGCTTTGTAGTTGAATAAAAATATGAAATATAATCTTTTTCAGATTAATCTGTTTAAACCTAATACTTCTATACAAAATTTCATATCAATTTCTCAAGACAGAAACATCAGATAGATGTATCGTTCAACGCCCGAGATTCTCAGATTTTATCCTATAGCCCCTTTTCATTTTTCCTTTACAGTCCCTTTAAAAGACAAATACTATAACAAAATACTAGCAAATAACACGAATTTAAAGGTACTGTAGCATAGTTTCAGATGGCCTTCATGTGAAGATGGCTAATTCATTCTTGGTCAGAAAAAGCTTTTAACCCTAAACAGAGAGTAGGGGGGGGGGGCGTCAAATGCCCCCCCTCTAGTTTTTTTCTTAACACTCTCATTTTTGTCACTATCATCGTGAAATTTCGTGACTGTTAATGAATAGAAATTTGAAGGATTTTTGTAAAATGCTTTTTTTAAATGCAAAGGGTAGAGTACAGAGGGCGGTAAAAAGTCCGGTCTGTGTTAACAAAATTTTAAACAGCTGTTTTTTGAGGTTAAAGCTACAAATCTATATTTGTAAAATGCCCTTGAAAAATGGATGTCATAGAAGCATGTGTCACACTTTGATATTTGTTTAAAACAAGAAAAAATATATTTTATATTTTTCTGACCCTTTATTGGCATTTTTTAACCCTCCCTAGCACCCAAACTATTACAGTTATCGGTCTAATTTTTTTTTAATGAGCTGGCCTTATAAAATTTGGCTATAAACTGAACATGCATTTCAACCCTATACCTATTCTCTAAGGCCTTTTTCTAGGGGGGGAGAATGGGACGCCCCCCCCCCCAGCTATACATAGATTCAGAACCTCCAGCCTTTATGTTGTTAAGGGAACCATTGAGAATCGGTTATCGGCATGAAGGGTAAATATTATTCTAAATAAGGATTTTATTAAAGAACATAAACATTTTAAATAACTTCAGAATGTCAAAAACCAAAAATGAATGTTTGCAGAAAACTATAAATGGAGTCTGGGAAAAGTCATTATCAATGAGATGCTATCGGAGACCCCCATAATCATTCAATCAGAGACCCAACGTTTTCAGCGGAGACCCCTAGAATTTTTATTGGAGACCCTAATGAAAAGCAATGAGGTCTCCAATGTAAATCTGCTATCTCAGATGAAAAGGTTGGTGTTTTTTCAATGAAATCTGGGGGTCTCCAATGAAAATCTGCGGGTCTCCAATGAAAATCTGGGGGTCTCCAATGAAAATCTGGGGATCTCAAATGAAGACCTGGGAATCTTCAATGAAAACCTGGGGATCTCCAATGAAAATCTGGGCGTCTCCAATG